TGAGAGGCAAGCTGCCTCACTCAGGTGGAGGCTGCTCCAGGTGCCGCCTGCAGATGAGCTTCTTTTTCTTCCTGTTCTGTTCAGCAGTGCCCTAACTGGGCAGTATATTATTGGATTGATGATTGACCAAGACAGCACACCTCAACATTAGCAAACACCTGGCAGCTTGTTTGCAGGGACCTGCTTTCCACTTGTCTCCAACACTCTGGCTCCTGTGTTGTGTTGCTATCACTGGAGGCTCACATTCAAGAGTCTGTTTTCTCCTAACATGTAACAAGTCCATTGCAGCTCTTGGCCCACCAGAAATGGAAATGGTTAGAAAGGATTACAAGCAAGGATACCAATGTGTTCAAGTCCTGGCTCTGTCATTTACCGGCAGTAGGGTGGACAAATTACTTAACCTCAGCTTTTTCACTGTAGAATGGGGGGCTTGATGATGCCTACATCATAAAGTTGGTGTAAGGACTGCTCATAACTCTGTCGTTTCCCGGGTAAGCCCTGTTCTAGGCATGACAATCTGTCCGTGCTGACTTTCAGTAGTACATGCCTTTGGTATCTCTCCCCAAGGATTAGTTCTGGAAATAATAACAATCTGTTTGAGCTCTCTGTTGCATTGTTGGCTCTCACCCCCAGCCCCAAGCAGCATGGAGTGACAAAAAGTTGACCTGGGGGACTGGCAGGTGGCATGGTGGTTAGGGGTGCTGGACTTCCACATGGACGACCCTGGTTTGAGTCCTGGACCTTGTGGCTTGCTTTCTCACTTTCTCTCCCCCTCCCAGGTCAATTAAAATAAATGAATAATTAAATAAATAAAGTAAGTAAGTTAAATAATTTTTAAAAGAATTATTTTTAATTTTATTTATTTATTTTTTTTGAGAGATTTTTCGCTATAGGGCGTGTGTGCTCGCCAGACAGACAGAGACATAAGAGACAGAAAGCGAGAAATCACCTTCCAGAGGGGATGGTCACACCGCAATCCCTTCTCCTCCAATTCTCCTCTCGGGATCTTGGGCACGCACGCAAACGCGCCTGGCGTGAGTTTTAAGCCACCGGGTTCGGGATGTGAACCATGGTCAACTACGTGGGAGTCCAGTGACATAGCCATTACGCTAACTGCTGGTTCCCTAAAAGAATTATTTTTTTTTTTAAAAAAGCTTGCCTGGTTTAGGGTTGTAGTCTGTATGTATGAATCTTTTTTTTTTTTTTTATGAAACTAAAACACACACACACACACACACACACACACATGCCAGGGTCAAACATGTGTTTTCAGTGGTAAAAATGTAGCACGGCAAGGCAATGCCCCACGGGAAGCTTCCTAGTTCAAATCTGGACACTTCTCTGACCATGCCAGGTATAGACATGCCCATGAGCCAGGGCTGATTGAAGGATGGGTGGGGATCTCAACACTGAGACCTCCTGTGGGTAATGCCTCTCTGTTTGTCTCTCTTTCTCCATCTGTCTCACTCACAAAAGAACTAAATGAGCAAATAATTTTATTTTTAAAAAAGCACATGCTAGGGAACCAGCAGTTAGCGTAATGGCTATGTCGCTGGACTCCCATGTAGTCGACCGCGGTTCGTGTCTCGGACCCGGTGGCTTAAAACTCACGCCAGGCGCATGTGCGTGCGTGCCCAAGATCCCAAGAGGAGAATGGAGCAGAAGGGATTGCAGCGTGACCATCCCCCCTGGGGGGGTGATTTCTCACTTTCTGTCTCTATGTCTCTCTCTGTCTGTCTGGCGAGCGCACGCGCCCTATAGCAAAACCCTCTCCAAAAAAAAAAAAAAGCACATGCTAGATACACCACAGTATCTAGCGGTGTGGCCTAATGTTGAGCAGAGAGCTGGATTCCAACCACAACTCTACCACTTGGGCACATTCCTTAACTTCTCTAAACTTCAGTTTCCTCCTCCGCAAAAAAGGGCTAATAATACCAACCTCAGATGTTCCAGGCACATAAAGCACTTAGCACTGCAAAGGGGCTGTAAGTGGCAGCATTTGCATAATTCGGGCTCTCCCAATTATCCTTGCTAGCTCCCCAGCTTCCATTAGTGGGGGAGGGGAGGGGGTAAATAGAAAATAATGGTTGCCTTTTAGAGGGGAAGATAACTTAGCCTGGGTTGCCCAAACATGGGAAGTGATCTAAACTGGCAAAACTGGGTTCGAAATCTGACTTCCTCACTTACTGGCAAAGTGGCATAGAGCTAGTCTTCATCTTCTGAGGATCGGTTTCTATTTTTTTTTTTTTAGAGGTTTTTGCTATAGGGTGCGTGCACTCGCCAGACAGGCAGAGAGAGACAGAGAGACAGAAAGTGAGAAATCACTCCCCAGGGGGGATGGCCACGCTGCAATCCCTTCTCCTCCCGGGGTCTTGGGCACGCACACGCACGCGTCCGGTGTGAGTTTTAAGCCACCAGGTCCGGGACGCGAACCGTGGTCTACTACGGGGGAGTCCAGCGACATAGCCATTACACTAACTGCTGGTCCCGAGGATCAGTTTCTTAATCTGTAATATAGAGGCGAGAGTCATAATAATGTCTGCCTTATTTATGTCATTATCTATTGAAAACAGTCAGTGAAAGCACTCTACAAACTCTAAAGACATACATGTTGAAGTTGTTTTTATCACTGGCACCCACATTTCTCTTGCACGGCTAAAGCCAACGTTGAATAGCAGAGAGATTATTGTCACTTGGTTGACTTTCTCAAAGGGCCACATTACCCAAGGGATTCAGTCCAGGGGCAGGCAGGTTATGGATCTTTTTTTTTTTTTATGACTGACATTTTGAAAAACAAGTCCAGCAAACAGGCTGGTTCTCTCTTGTTTGATGTGGTCAGAATTCCTTCTTGGTCATGTGACCCCTAACTCACTTACTGATGTTCATTTTAAAAACACAAACAAACCTGTTTGGTTTTTTTCTCCCCTTATTGTTCAAATTAACCTTGGAAGCGATGGGGTTGAGCAGAAAGGCAGGTGGAAGGTAGTGTCCTACCTGGATGCTAGTATGAGACCTTTCATCAGAAGCCCTCTGGGTAGCGAAAGATGGAAGAAGAGAAGCTAAATTACTTATGTATCTGATGTATCCTGACCCTATAGCACTCTCAGGGTTCCTGATGTTTTCAAGAATGGGTTAGTTCAGAAAGAAGTGAGACAGTTCTTTTTTAATAATATTTTTTTTAATTAATTGAGGGGGGCCAAAGAGTGGTACAGTGGTAAAAGCTGATGCTCTAGAGACCAGCAGATGGTGGAATGGTTACATCATTGGACTCCTGCATAGTAGACTGTGGTTCAAGTCCCGGACCCAGAGGCTTAAAACTCATGCTGGGCATGTGCGCGTGTGTGCCCAAAATCCCAAGAGGAGAATGGAGGAAAAGGGATTGTGGCATGCCCATCCCCCACTCCTGGGGGGTGATTTCTTGCTTTCTGTCTCTCTCTGGCAAGTGCATATACCCTACAGCAAAAAATTTCTCTCTCTCTTTTCTTTTTTTTTTTTTTTTTCAGAGGTTTTTGTTATAGGGCGCATGCACTTGCTAGAAAGACAGAGACAGACAGAGAGACAGAAAGCGAGAAATCACCCCCCCCCTTCTCAGGGAGATGGCCATGCCACAATCCTCTCTCCTCCATTCTCCTCTTGGGGTCTTGGATACGCATGCACACACACCTGGTATGAGTTTAAGCCACTGGGTCTGAGACTCAAACCACAGTCGACTACATGGGAGTCCAGCGACATAGCCATTACGCCAACTGCTGGCCGTGCAAGAGGATTTCTCTCTAAAAAAAAAAAAAAGAAAGAAAGAAAAGAAAAAGAGGTGATGTTCTCTAAGGCAATCCCACCTGGGAAGGTTTCCAGTTCAAGTCCAGAGACTCTTTGAATATACCAGGCACACACTTGCTTATAATCTAGGACTGGCTGAAGGTTGGGGGGTGAAGGGCGGGAGTTCTTTCTTTCTCTCTCATTCATGGGAAAAATAAATAAATAAATAAAACAAATTTGAAAACCGTAAACTATCATGCAAAAAGGATATGTGTATATAAAACTGTTAAATATAACAGAATTATAATTAATGGCAAAACATTATAAATATTTCTGATAACATCAGAATCAAAACGAGCGCATGGAGTGCAGCTGTGACTATGTAGTACTACTCAGAGAGTTCGGACCGATGCAGGACATGTGCGCCTGTTACTACTAGCAAAGAGGAGACCCTATTAGCATTAAGTGCTTGTGGTGCAATTATACGCTTGGGAAAACTTGATAAGGAAAGCACAATCATAGAAATGAATGAAAGAATTCAATGAAGTGGCCACTACAAAGTTAAATATGCAAAAACTAGTAGCTTTCCCTTACTAATCTCCATTAAAATATAATGGTGGTAAGAATAGGGGTGCCTGGGGCTCAGGGCTTGTTTAATATTTTTTCATTACAATATCAGTTCCTTGACAAAAAGAGGGACAAAAAGATTAGTAATGTATAATGAATATTTGAAAAAAGTAGGCAAACCCAATAATGGCTACTGTGTCCTAAGGCTCATCAATAATGCCATCGTGAGAGAGGGGAGAGTCATATATAACACATAGGAACTTGGGTTCAGGGGTTGGAAATACCTGGGCTTGGGGACCAGCAGCTGGTGTAATGGCTATGTCGCTAGACTCCCATGTAATCAAATGCAGTCAAGTCCCGGACCTGGTGGCTTAAACTCACATGGGGCATGTGTGCGTGTGTGCCCAAGATCCCGAGAGGAGAATGGAGGTGAAGTGATTGCGACGTGGTCATCCCCCTGGAGTATGATTTCTCGCTTTCTGTCTCTCTGTCTCTCTGGTGAACGCATGTGCCCTATAGCAAAAACCTCTCCAAAAAAAAGAAAAGAAAAGAAAAGAAAAATACCTGGGTTTGAATAACATAAGTACTATTAACTAGTTTGTAGATCTTAGGCAAGATACCTATGTACCCAGAACCTCAGGGGGTTTTTTGTTTTGTTTTGTATTTTAAAGGGTTTTTTGCTATAGGGCACATGTGCTCACTGGAGAAACAGAGACAGAAAGTGAGAAATGACCCCCTCAGGAGGGATGGCCACGCCGCAATCCCTTCTCCTCCATTCTCCTCTTGGGATTTTGGGCACAAACGTACACACACCTGGCATGAGCTTTAAGTCACTAGGTCCGGGACTCAAACCTCTTTTGACTATGTGGGAGTCAAGCGACAGCCATTACGCCATCTGCTGGTCCCAATACAACAGTATCTACCTCACAGGATTATAGTGAGGTTTCTGAGTTCACGTATGAGCAGTGCCCCCAGAGCCCCAGTACTCAGTGAGAGCGGCCTTGTGCTCCTGCCTGGCCCCTAATTTGCTCTCATTGGGGAATCCCAGGGCATTTCTCTGGTCATTTCAGCGATCATGTGTCTCTTGCACCAATATGTAGAAAGCAGGAAGCAGAATGGAGGATCCATCCAAGTGAGCAAGCAGAAAACTTTTTGAAGCAGGTTTGTAACTCAAAGATAGTCAACAAATATAAGCCCCATTAGGACAGGAATTATGTAATTTACTGCTCTATCAGCACGTACCGCAGTGTTTATCTCGTGGTAGGTGCTTAAGAATTGCTATTTAGTGAATAAATTAATGCATGGGTGAATTAGCCGTGTCATTTGGAAGCTGCTCTTGGCAGTGCCAATTCCACTCATGCTGTTCTTGTTTTTTCTCTTCAGCAGATCTCAGTCTCGGGAGGAGGTTTACCCCCAGTCAGCACCTTGACAAATATCCACAGCCTGTCCCACCACAATCCCCAGCAATCTCAAAACCTCATCATGGCCCCCCTCTCTGGAGTCATGGCCATTGCACAAAGTAAGTTCTGTTCTTGGGCAGAAGACATGGGGACAGGGCGTGCCAATGAGCCAACCTGATAATAAAAGGGTGGCAGAAGATTCTCTTCCAGCTTGCCCACAACTTGGAGTCTTCGTTTAACTTCTTTAGCTTCTCATCTCTCTCCTCAATAACATATGGGTTGTCTAACCTAAAACGAGAAAAGTATGGAATGGAATTGAATATTGGTCACAGTTTATCAGCTGTGTGTTCTGGGTCAAATCACTGAACCTTTATGAGATTCAATTTCCTCATCCATAATAAAATGGGTTGTTGAGGCAATCAAATAACAACAAATATACATGCACTTATAAATTTATAAAGCACAAATATATATAACATTGTAGCTCATATTTTTGTCTTGTGTTCATTCCTATCTCTAAGTATGAGGTAGATTTTCTAGAAGGGTCTTTGTGTTTGTGAAGATATGAAACAAGACATGATGCTTCTTTCTGATAGGGAAATTTGTGTAATAATACAGGGCTAGGCCCATAGGAGGTACCCACATTTACGGAAGGAGTATATGAGGCTCTCGCTCCATCTTTACTGCTTAGAAACGGATGCACTCTGGATTTATCTGGATGGAGGTAAATGAGCATAGATGCCTTTAGAAGACTCACATATAAAAAATGATTTTAAATTTACTGCCTTTCACCAGGACCTCCCGGTATTTGGAATATGGTAACTATACTAATAGCAGGGTTTGCACTAAAAATGAGATAGGACACCTGAAACCAGCTTGCTTGCCTTCTGGAAGGTTTGCTTAAAAGGACTGTGGGTAAAACATTCTACTTCCTTATTTCTTTTTAATTTTTAATTTTTAAAAATTTTGTTGAGGGGCATCTATGTTTACCAGAGAGAGAAAGCGACCACCCCATGGGAGACGGTCAGACCACAGTCCCTTCTCTTCTATTTCTCCTTTCAAGATTTTGGTCATATACACACAGTGCTGGGTGTATTTTACTCAAATAGTGCAGTTGGTCGTGCAGGATTTAACCCTTTAACCGCCATGCCACCAGCTGGCCCCACTTCCTTATTTCCACACTCAAAATGATACACAAACTATCCCTTTTACCTTTGCCTTCCTGTGTCAAGCTTTAACTGACATACAAGGGGACTTCAATAAGTTAGTGGGGAAAATGGAATTAAAGTACACGTTTATTTTGCTGTAAAATGATTTTTTAAACCATCGTTCTTTTAGAATAAGCACTTTCCATGAACTTTTTGAAGACCCCACGCACATAGTTATATATTTTTTCAAGTGCTACTTGAACTAAAATCTTCCCTGAGGCTATTCCGTCTTATTCAATTTCATTCCTCCTAATTCCCTCTACCCATACTTCCTCTGCCTTCTCACCATACTCTTAACCTGCTGCAGATGAGCGACGCCAAAGTGTACACTGACCTTAGAAGGGTGTGTGTGTGTGGGCACACGCGCACACACTTAGAGTGCACAGAGCATGAAGAATGGTGAACGTCACTAGATAACCTTGCTGAGACTCAGTGGTCCTATCCTATGGAGTGTCAGGATGAAGAACTGATTGCAGGTTGCCTCTTTTAGCCACGTCATGTGTTGTCGAGTACATGGGCCCTGCTTCAAGACTGCAGAGAGCCATGGAGAAGTGATCACGAATTACCTGGCAGTCCCAATTCCTCATTTTCTGCTCATCTACCGGACCCCGGATAGCATGCTTCCTCAAAAAAAGTGCCTAGAAAAGAGATGGAAAGGCTAAGAGTCATGCTCTGTGGGAGACAGAATGACATTGGTGCCTCTCAATCCTAGAACTGAGGCACATGAGTCTGTGTTGAAAATAAAATTCCTGGGCCCCACCTCTGAAGGTTCTGACTCATCAAGTCTTGGGTGGGGCCCAGGAATGTATATTTTTTAAAGAGCTCCCTCAGATGATTCTCAAGCACAGACTGGTTTCAGAACTATGCCCTCAAATGTTATCCAGTCTAAGCAGGAGCATTTGGTTTTCTGGCCAGAGATTTCTTTAAGAGAAAGCAGCTGGCAATGGGATCCTGGGAAATAGCAAATCTGTGGGGGTCCTGAGACTGAGACTGTGTGTAGGTGTAATGGGAAACAGGGGAGCAGGGTATCAGGTGAGATGCTGAGCCCCTGAGGGATTGGAGATAGTGCCTTTCCAAGAGTGTTCCAAAGTCCCACCCCGCCTTCAGCCCCCACTCAGGAGAGCCCAGAGGAGGATTATTACCCCTTCATGTCTGCTCACGGGTCTCACCTTTTAAGTTTCTGATAACAGTATTAGCTAGAACCCGAGTGGGCAATTGTTGAGGACTTGTGCTATCTCCATTGAGGTCTTCCAGCAACCTACTTAGGAGACCCTCTCCCTTTCAGGAAAGGCTCTCTAGGCGTCCTTTCTTTCTTTCTTTTTTTTTTTTTATAATTATTTTTTATTTTAACTTTATTTATTTATTTACTTATTTTAAATTTGACCAGTGAGTGACAGAGTGAGAGAGAGAGGGAGAGAGAAAGTGAGAAGGCAAACCTCCAGGTGCAGGACTAGAACTGTGGTCAGCCATGTGGGAGTCCACACCCTTAACCACCATGCCACCTGCCGGCCCTCTAGGTGTCCTTTCTGCATATACCTGAAATGAAGCTTTCCCTGGATCTCCTTCTTCATCCTATTCTTCTCCATCTCCCCAAAAACAAGGACAAAGGAACATGGCTACACCAGGAAAGAGCCTGGACTGTCTTCTCTGCAGATCCTTTAGTCTACACTCCAGTCCTTCCTTAGCTGTCCCCCCAGAGTCCCACTCAGGAAGCAGACACAGAGTGGGTATTTGCAGTGTTTGCCCAGGTTCTAATGGGGCCATGGGCTAGAGACACAGGACCAAGTCACAGAAGCCCTCAGAGCAAAAGATGGCAAGACCCTGTATAGCTGCCAAGAGATAGCCTTTAACTTATGACTTCATCCTTTTCTCTTTATAGAGAGATTTTTTTAAGAATTATTTTCATTGAATTTTACTATTATTAGGGTGTTTTTTTGTTTTTTGGTTTTGGTTTTGGTTTTGGTTTGGTTTGGTTTGGTTTTTACCAGAGAAAAACACAGATTGAGAGAAAGTGAAAAAGCAAGCTGCCAGGTCCTAAGACTCAAACTGCAGTCAGCCACGTGGGAGTCCAGCGTCTTTAACCACCATGCTACCTGCTGGCCCCGAAAGAGAGATTTTTTTATATAGGGCACATGCACTCGCTGGAGAGACAGAGATAGACAGACAGAAAGCAAGAAATCACGCCCCCTCCCAGGAGGATGGCCATGCCATAATCCCTTCTCCTCCATTCTCCTTTTGGGATTTTGGGCACGCATGCACACACACCTGGGGTGAGTTTTAAGCTGGTTGGTCTGGGACTTGAACTGTGGTCAACTATGTGGGAGTCCAGTGGTATAACCATTATGCCATCTGCTGGTCCCACAACTTCATCCTTCTAAAACCTGGTCCTATGCCACCAACTCTGGGCCACCAGGTAAAATATGCCCAATTCATACACTGTGACTGCCAGTGTTTTCTCCTCTCTCCGCTACAGTCAAGAGAGATGGCATCTGACCTCTCTCTGGGTATTTACATGTTCCACAAAATGAAGGCCTTCAGACTTCATACTTCCTTGACTATACATGTGTTTTGGTTTTAATAAAAACGTGGGTCCCTGCACACTCCTGCCCTCTGCTGGACAGATGGATCTGGGCAATAATCCACACCTTTGAGTGGCCACTTTAACTGTGCCCCAGGGCACCAGGGCAGACCAGGATGAAGTGCACAAATAGAGGCCACTTCCCAAGTACCCTGGTAGCCTCCAGGGAACTAAGTTTGGGAGGTCACAGGGTGGCTTTGGGAGGCTTTCACTGTGAAATTTGAGCAAGTAAATGAACCTCTCCAAGTCTCGGCTTTTTCTCGGTTTCTTTGTGCATAAAATCATTGCCCATACAATCTCTTACACAGCAGGCTTGGCTAGGGATGGAGCAAGGGTCGCTGCCTGTTCCCATCTATTCACCTCCCCTTGTCCCCTAAAAGCCACCTCTGACCTTTCCCTCTTGCTCCCACAGGCCTCAACACCTCCCAAGCACAGAGCGTCCCTGTCATCAACAGTGTGGCTGGCAGCCTGGCAGCCCTGCTTCCTGTTCAGTTCTCCCAGCAGCTGCACAGCCCTCACCAGCAGCCCCTCATGCAGCAGAGCCCAGGCAGCCACATGGCCCAGCAGCCCTTTATGGCGGCTGTGACTCAGCTGCAGAATTCACACAGTAAGGACACTGCGGGGGCAGGGATGGGGGGGACAGGGGCGGGGAGGGAGCACAGAGAGCCTTCCGTAGCCAGCCTCTCCTTCTCCGCATCTAGACTTTCTTGGGAATTTACTGGTTTGGTCACTTTCCCCTGCCTATCTGCAACCAGGGCAGTTTCTCAAGCATAACTTTTGTGTGTTGCTGTGCCTTTTCTAGTTCTCTTCCCAGGGCAAGATTTGAAGAGGACAGCTAAGGCCTGTGTGTAAAGGGGAGTTGGAGATAGACAGCAGGGTAGCATATATGCGGAGCAGGTGCCACAATTCCCATTCTAGCACTCAATCGCAGCCTTTCTGACTGAGCTTCAGGTTAGCCTTTTGGATGCAAAATTCCGAGCAGCCATTAGCAAATGATCAGACTTGGCATCTAATTTTCATCCCGTTTATCTTCCCTGAAACAGAAGTGTCTTCTAGAGTGCCCCATGCCCTCCAATTGACACACCCCAAGTACTTCTAATCCATAATCATGAAAATAACCACTACATGCATATCTGTGCAATGAGTCTTAGAGTTTCTGTCC